AATAAATACTTAAATTGTTTCAGGCCTCCATGTGAATATTGCACAATGTTTCATTTAATTGACCCTAGAATGAAGTATGTAAAAAAAAAAAAATAAGTTTACGATTTGACACCCGTATTATAGACAGTTCTCAGCATACTCAAAATTAGGGGTAATCACAATTATTGTACCATATTTACAGTCCTAATGCAAATTTAAATTACTGAAATAAGTGTTTTTTTTATCCTTTGTCAATAGAATTGGCCCAGACTTCTGCAGTGTCAAGTGAAGGAAGCTCCTCTCATAAGATTGCAAACTGGGAGTCTGATGACACTGAGTGTGTTGAACTGGGCAGGCACACAATATCAGCTTATGTTCACACCTGGAATTTTCTAATTATTAATTTAAGATATCAAACTGCAAAAAGATAAATGGTTAGTTGACCCAAAAATGAAAATTGTCATTATTTCTCACTCTCTGTCAACCTGCAAGACTTGTATTCATTTTCAAAACACAAATGAAGACATTTTAAATGAGAAAATGTCCTTCCATCGACAATCTACACCACTACCACTTTGATACTTCAGGAAGTTCATAAAGAGATCATAAAACTAATCAAAATGAATCGAGCGGTTTAGTCCAAATTTTCTGAAATATTGTTGTCATTAATTGTTTTTTCTTTTTTTTTCTTTTCAAGAAACCAAGTTCCTGGCTTCTCCCAAGACCTTCAAGGACCCAATTAACCTCGGAATCAGCTGAAAAGGGGGATGAAACCGATGTTTAAGGTTAGACTATATTTCAGAATAAGATTATATTAATGCTTTATCTATATTCTGTGTTCATGCATTTTTTTTGCTGAAGTTGTCATATCTGTTATTTAGAATGGGACAGCGATATTGCATCAATTGGTCTCCTACTTCATTTGATTCCACCATCACCACAAGGCTGCAAGGGACCTGGAAAAATGTCGTCCTATCAAGCTGAAAAACATCTTCAAAAAGGTACATTTGGACATTTCTGTCACTACCTATTGTCTGCCTGAAAATATTGCCAGATGGGTTGTATATTAAAGACTAATGTAAATTAAATCAGTTGGAGAGCTGAACTTGAGTGTTATTTTTGTCTTTGATCTACAGGCACTAACAAGAAGAACAGCTTGATTGCATAGAAGAGACCACACAGCCATACTTGCTCGCTGATGGGACAACGAGGAACATCATTCATGGATGCTACACAACTGTCAAATCTACCTGTCATATTTGTTCATGTCTAGGTAAATTTGATGATTTTGTGTTTTATTAACTATTTTATGTGCAACACTTAATGAACGTGACTGACTAATTAACCTCTACACATCTGATATATGTTTTAAAGTTGCCACTTTGCCCATTTGTTAAATAAACGTTGAAATTTATACATCTGTCTGAAGACT